TTGTCCAGCATTCATAGCCATACAAGTGGATGGATATCACATAGCAATCCAGCATTCTTTGTTTCTAACAAAATTTTTCTGTTTTTGAGCATTTTGCAGAATTTTTGGAATGCCACTTTCATTAGTCCAACACAAAGACTGAAAGTTATTTAAACAGGAAATTGATTGTCTGAAAATTACAAAAACCCAAGGCTTGCTAGGTGCAAGATACACCTGAGGAAAACAACAACAAAAAAAAAATAAAAATAAGAAATATTTTCATTTAAAATAGGTAACATTTTAATTTAACAGGATGTGCAGTTGGTGTAATGTTAGCATCCAAATTTGAATTCCAATCGTGTTCCTTAAATTCACTTTTGCACAAATTCCCTTGAGAAAGGTATAAATCCACTTCTTCCCCCAGCTATAGGTTAAATAGTAGAGCAAATTGAGTTCTTTAGCCTTAGTTGGCAACCAGCTTAAGAGAAATACAACTCTGAATTCAAAAAAATTGGGCATTGGTCTATCAAATCCATCCCATAAAAACTTACTTGCTATGGAAACTATTGCAGCAACACTTAGTGTAGTGAAGCTATGGTCCTATACTCAACATAGGAGTATACAGGACAGGAGTGTGCAAGTGAGTTTAATTTGACATATCTTAATGAAGTCATAAGTGAAAATGTCACATTTAATTTATAATAATGTTTTAATAAACAAAATGTTGTTATAAGTTTTATAGTAAAAAAAATATAAAATGGCAGTATGAACTCATGGCAGTCTTTATATGTCTGAAATCAAAAAAATAAATATCTGTAATGATATTTACAATATTATGAACAACCCTCAAGTTGTATAATCTCATATAATCAAATAAATTATTGTAATATTTGAAATAAAAGCAGATATTATAAACTGCAATTCACATAGTATCAGTTGGTCAATTATGTGCCACGCATGATACACGCTTAGGCGATCATGTATCTTTCAATGCATGATTGACAAGGCAGATTTTTTTCCCACAGTAGGTTGCCATTTCTTTCTGCAGTAGAGCAGTTGCCATCTGTCCTGCTATTTACCCATAGCTGAAAGAAGAGGATTCATACCCTTTCCCAAGGGTATTAGCACGTAAGTAAATGTAATGGAATTCAAACTCAGCTCTCCAAGCTACTGTCCATTACTCCTCCGTGCCTCCATAGTATATCTACCATAAAAATACAATATATCCTGAAAATGTTACTGATATTGGTTTATATCAATTTTTATTGAGAAAACATTGATTTATAGCAATTAAATCTGACATGGTCTATTTCGGTTGGTGTCTTGAGGTTTTTCTATTGAATTTAGAAATAACACAAAAATCATATGAAATTTCCTGGAGATGGTTTAACAGTATCTCTCTTTTTTTTTTTTTTTTTTTTTTTTTTTTTTGTGTCTGAATTTCTGGGATGTGCAGTTATTTTTATTTACATGCAGACTATTCTCCACATCTTTGTTATTATTATCATGTTTTTATATGAGGAAGTTATTTCATGCTTCAAGGTTACCAGATGTTTGATTAGCACTTTATACATGCCAAGTACTGAAGGTCGAACTGGTTTTAGAGCTTTGTACATGCAAAATATTGCAGTTTCAACTGGCTTTATATCCTTGTATATGCAAAATACTGAAGGTTGAACTAGCTTTCTAGCCTTGTACATGCAAAGTACTGAACGTCAAATTGGCTTCATAGCCTCATACATGCAAAGCATTGAAGGTTGAACTGGCATGAAAACCACCTGTCTGATGCTCTTTACACCTATCAACCATTTTACCTTGCTTTGAATCCCCCTCCCAGCACACACACACACACACACACACCTCCACTTGAGATTGATTTGTATTGATAATTCCTGCATCCATTTGAAACTTATATTCTACTCCTTAAACAAACAAAAAATCTTTTTTTTTTCTTATCTTTTTATTATATTATAATTTTTTTTTTCTTTTATCTTCATTTTATTTTTACATTTGTCAAATACAAAAAAAAAAAAAAAATGTTTTTTCTCTTTTTGCCCCTGATCAATATTGGATTGTCTGTGGGCTTGGACAGACTTCAAGTCTCCTGTACTCAGTGTCGATAACCTGGATTACTAATGACCTACCTCTCTTCTAGCACATGTAAAATATTTCAACCTGTTACTTTCAATCAATAAAAGAAATACTGTTACCATGATACAACATTCAATACTACCAGTTAATGAGTTTAATTTTTTGTGGATGCTCTAACGTTGTGGTCTTGTGCCAACAAAGATCTGTAGCACTCACCCAATGACAAGCTTGCAAATTTATTTTTTTTTCTGTTTATTTGTTCTGTTCCTTCAATATCTGTCTATATTTCTGAGATGAGGTATTATGTACATTATTTACATTATTCAGACTATTGTCCTCATCTTTGTCGCCATATTTATTACAATGTTTCAGCCATTGTACACTCCGGCCTTCTTCAGGTGGTTGGAATGTCGAACTGAACTCTTTATTTCGCTCACTGGGGTAGACTGTTCTAGTTCCACGTGCCATGTTTGATGGATGTCAGTTATCAGTTATCTCCTGCTAATTTCCCTCTGAAAGTTCTCCACTGCCTTAACCGGGTATTGAACTAACACTCTTTGGGTCCTGTCACTGGATCTAACCAACACCTTTATCCACTGTGCTATTTGTACTTGAGGATAAAGGCATTGGTTAGATCCAGTGACAGGACCCAACTAGTGAGTTCAATACCCAGTTAAGGAAGTGGAGAACATTCAGAGGGTACAACGGCCGAAACGTTGTAATAAATATGGCGACAAAGATGAGAACAATAGTCCGAATAATGTAAATAATGTTCTGTTCCTGTTGAAAGATTTTTTTCTTTAAGAAATGATTTATAGATAGAGAAGAACTTTGTAATTGCTAAGTGATTCTACCTCTATTAAATAGGTTTATATTTTAAAAGTTTTTAAGTAATTTCTGTCTGAATTTCTGGAATGAGGCATTATTGTTATTTACTATCAGACTAATGTCCTTATCTTTGTTATTATTATGACCTGATCGCCTTCTGTCTGAATTTCTGGGATAAGGAGTTGTCATTATTTACATTCAGACTAATGTCCTTATCTTTGTTGTTATTACACCATCCTGCCTTCTTCAACTGTATTTTGATCCAGGCAGCATTCATGGAATTTCCAACACGTGTTTATTGGATTTGGTGGCATAGTAGTTATGAGTTCCATCCCTAGGCCAAGTAGTACAAGTTTAGACTCAGTGGAAACAGGGCAAGCAATAACTGAGCAGTACTAAAAAGAACAAGTTGAGATATCCCTAGACTTGTACAAAGGTTAATGAGAACAATTTATTCCATGAATTAAATAAAGGTTTTAGCTTAAAATTCTCTGAAGGTTACTGAAAAAGCCCGCAGTGCAAAACAGCCAAAACATTGTGATAACAACAAAACTGTTTTTATATAACTGAAGAACTCTGTCAATATTAATGTATATATGCTTTATGTCAGGGGGCTATTGCTATATGTAACCCAGTATAACCTGCAACATGGTCAGCGACTAAACCAGTTCCTCCAGCAGGCTTACCTGGTGAGGTGGGTGGTTGACATCTTGCTGAATGAAAAATAAAATCTGCAAAAATATCTGGGACTAAGACGACATTTAGGCTCTGTGTTTGGGAAGAAAAAAAAATACCAAAGCTCATAAGAAAATTTTGGTATTAAATGACCCATGAGGAATTGATATGCCATTAAACAAACAAAAAAAAACATACCTAACATTCGATGTTACATGTTACTTACTCACACATATTTTTTAACAATCTTCAACTTTTTCCTAATTTTGAATGCAGTCACCCTCAGCTTTGAGTACTCCAAGTGCATGCACTTAAAATGAAAGTCATTGCAACTCTTATGAAATGCAGACTTTATAAAAAAAAAAAAAAAAAAAAGAATCAGGTTCATGACCTTATTCTCTTGGAATGGCCACCCAAATCCACAATCTGATAGAGAAAAGATGAAAAGAAAGACTGAAAAATCACAATCATAGGTCATCTAAAAGAATTAATAAAGAAAAACAATTTGGTTACAAGAAGTTGGTGATGATCTGCATTTAAACATATAGAATTGCATATTAATTTACCAAATAATTCTATATGTTTTAAAATTATTTCTTAAAGAAGCTATTTATTTATCAACTACAAAAAAAAAATTATGTAGGAAATTCACAAAGCATATAACTTGTCTAGCATTTTGCTACATTACCTCTCTGCTCCACTTTTATTTCTTAGGAAACTGCAATATCTGGTTTGTATAATTTATGTAACCATTTGTATCCATGACCCATTTTTTAAAATTTTCTTAAAAATCATTTAATCACCAGTTACTTACCATCGTCTGAAGAAATACAATCAAAGTATTGAAACCTGAAAGCTTTTGTGTAGCAATTTCAACATGTTTTTATTATAATCTCTTATAATAAAAAATAATAATAATATATTGCTCTACTTTGTATTGAGCACTTTTTTAAAAGTAAAAGCTACAAACAGTGGAATTTTACTCCATCTGTTCTTTCTCTCATTTCGAGATATATATAAACAGTTCATCAATTCTGTTTTCAGTAGCAGTAACCCTTATAATATATATGTTGGTGAGGAGTATCTAAAAATGTATGTAATAAAGAGTGGTGTAATGGTTACTGGTACTGAAAATGGAATTGGTGAACTAGGTTTAAAATTTGAGCAGTGACTGTTTATGTTTACTTAAGACTGTTTTCTCCCTGACCAACTGTCAGATATCTTGTCTTTCCACAATAGTGAATGGAAACAGCAGGTGGATGAGCACTTAGGTAAACTTTACCTCCTTGACCAGAGCAAGCTACTCCCTTTATCAACCTAAACAATCATATCTTACGCGCACACACACACACACAGTCTATATCAAATTGCCTTTAAACATGTTTCCAATGTACATTTTCTTTCTCTCTCTCTCCCCCATCTTCTAGGCCCTGTTCCAGCAACTTGAAGAAGATACTGATAAAGCTCTTGTCATGTTGAACACATACTTTCCACGTTCCACTCCAAAATCAACAGAACAGGTAAGTAAAAATGCAGTGTCATTTGATGAACTCCTTCCGTCAACAATCTGTCAATACATACAAGCATGTAATCAGATTTATGATGGTTCTTAAATGGAGTTATTACAAATATGCACACCTATTTTATTGATTGATTCTATGGCATGCCAATCATTTCTGAGTCATTTCATGTCAAATTTTTCTATGCCACATCCAGTAAAGATCAAACCTACTAAACTTTTAATTGCTACTTTTGTACCCAGGCCCACCATGACCCAAGGTTGTAGCACCTGCTAGGGTCCCAGCTATGGGCAATTAGTGAACCTCTAGACTGGGGTCTAAACATGAAAATATAAAAATACATTATAAAATATTACCAGCATTACATTGAGTGGGGGGGGGATAGATGACCACAGCTCACAAGAAAATAAAATTTTGGCATTCAATGACCCATAAGAGTTGATTGATTAACCAAACCAAACTCACTACTTGCAGATTCTTACCATACACTGATTGTTGGTTGGTTTATTTTACAACTACTCAAGCATTGTTGGGTTAGTTGATGTTGAATTTTGTGTGGGGCACCCAGAGAGGATCAAACTCACTCCACTGTAGCAATGGTCAACCAAACTAGCCTTGCAAATCATGCCAATTACTCTATGACAATTTTGAATTTGAAGCTGGATTCAAAAAGTACAACTTGTCTCATTAATTTCATACCTCATGAATGTCCATGGTAAAATCCAGTATTAAAAAAAAATTAAGTAGCACTTGCAGGCTTTTATAGGCTCCTTTTTAAAAAAATTCAGTATTAATTATTGGCTTCTTTCTTTTTTAAAAAAAAAAAAAGAAAAGAATGCAAATAAATCCAGTATTATAGGTTTTTAAAAAAAATAATTCCAACATTAAGTATAGGTTTTATTTAATAAAAAAAAAAACAAGTATGTATTATATATATATATATATATATATATATATATATATATATATATATATAGGTTTTTTTGGAAAGATCATGTCGATTTTTAGCTTTCATGTTTCAACACATTAGAACACGTCAAATTTAGTGACAAATATAATATGCTTACATTTCCGATTAGAGCACACTTTAAACTATCTATTGAAAAGTTTAAAATTACTTAATTCATGTCAATTTTGCATCCCTATGAAATTCAAAGATTATAAGGTGCATTTTAGACACTTGATGCTTTTTATTTACCATAAAGGTAAATAAAAGGTAAGCAACAAAAAAGGTATGTGCTGTGTATAGTGAAGGTGCTTTAACTGTACAGAAGTGGTTTGCTAATTTAAGAGTTGGTGATTGTCACCTTATTGATGAAGAATGCTCAGGCAGAACCCCACCAAGATGATGACCAAATGAAGACATTAATTGAGAATAATTTGTATTACACAATGCGAGAATTGGTAGGAACACTAAATTTATCAAAATTCAATGTCCATCAGCACTTAGTGAAACTTGGGTATTCAAATTGCTACAATGTTTTGTTTACCACATGTTCTGAGTGAAAAGAATCTTTTGAATCGCATTTCATCTGTGATTTGCTATAAAATTGCAATGAAAATGCATTCATTGTGATGGATGATCAGAAATGGATTATTTACAACAATGTTCCACAAAAAAGATCTTAGGGTAAGCAACATGAACTGACTTTAGCCACCTCAAAACAGGTATTCATCTTAAAAAAAGTCATGCTGTGCATCTGTTGGGATTGTAAAGGAATCCTGTACTATAAAAGCTGCTGCCAAGTAACCATTCAGTTAACTTGAAAAGTATTGTTTGCAACTGAACAAATTAATGGCAGCAATTCAAGAAAAACATCTAGAATTGGTGAACAAGAAAGGTGTTGTTTTCCATCAGGATAATACCAGACCTCACATTTCTTTCAAGACCTGGCAAAAATTGTTACAGCTTAGGTGGATGTGTTATCCCACCTGCCATATTCACCAAACATTGCTCTTTCGGATTTTCGTTTATTCAGTTCCTTGCAAAATAATCTCAATGGTAAGAATTTTAATTCTTTGGATGACATTAAAAAAAAAAACCCACATTAATGAGTTCTTTGTCACCAAAATTCTGGGTAGATGGGAAAATGGAGAAAGGTTGTGCAATAAAATGGTTCATATTTAGTTGAATAAATATTTAATAGCATTTTTTTTTTTTTGTCTTAATTTCACTTAAAAATCGACATGAACTTTCTGGACAACTCAATAAATCATTAATGCCAATGTCCTAGATTGTTGGACTGTAATGGATTAAGCTTTATTAAAGACTTTTTTTCTTTATATAAATGTGATCCTCATTAAAATTAATTCTAATCTAATAACAGCATGTATCTTTTTATTTGAGCATTTTTTATATAAAGAAAAATGATGATTTTCCCATATGAGATGAAAAATATCACTTCATTTTAATCAAGGATTTTCTTTTTTTTCTTTTTGTAGAATCAAGGCCAGAGTTTGCCCAAATTCAACCAGAATCACAAAAATTTCCGTTGCTTTTTTTTCTCTTTGGTCTCCAATGAGAACCAACTCCGTGATTATCTAAAAGAGGATTACAATGCTGAATTTGGTCTAAAATTCATGCAATCCATAAAGAAACTTTGTGGCCGTTTCCTACAACAAATTGAATCACAGCTGCTGCCTCCAATGATTGAAAAGGTGGGTTTTGACTTATCTGTTGTTCCTATCATCAACCATCATTTATCACCTGTTTAAAGCATCTGTAATGTTAGTAATATCTGATAAGAATACCAGATTTTACATTATCATATTCACAATTGCAATTTTTGTTGTTATTATTGCTTTTCTCTGGCACTCCTTATTACTGGTTTCCATATTATATTCATTTCTATGCTTGGTCAGCTCAGGAGATTTTTGTGGCCAAGCATATGTGCTGATTCCTTAAATTTACAAATTTTCCAGTGATGTTCTTTGTCTATGATTTCAACCTGATCCTACAAAGGGCGGTGATCTTCCTTTTCACTCCATATGTGGTCAGCCACGCCTGATTTTTCCACTTCCCCTCATGTTACAGCTTTCTGGTGTTCTTGAAGCCTTACCTTAAGGGGGCGGCTTGTCTCCCCCTTATATTTCTTTCCGCAGCTGCACGGGATGGCGTACACACAGTCTTTAGTCATGTTCTCCTCTATGGAGGGTGTCTTACTTGGGAGAGATATCTGCAAAGTGTCATCCAGCTTTTGAAGGTTATCCTGATGTTATATGGACCACATATCCTTTATATTTTCTCTGATAACCCTTTCACATAAGGCAGGCAGACTGTTTTCTGATTGTTGTTGTCCTCCTCTTATATCCACCTATCCCAGTTTATTGGGTCTGCTGCCATGTACCTAGGGTAGTTGTTATGTTGTAGGGTACTACTTATACTGACCAATTCTTTATCTAATGTCTCTGGGTCACCACTTATGACTTTTGCTCAGTGTTGTAAGCAGCAGACGATCCCTTTCTTTGCGCTATATGGATGGTGGGAGTTGAAATTGAGGTACTGTCTGGTGAATGTCAGTTTACAGTATACGGATGTCTTGAACCCATGCTCTGTTCAAGATATTAGAACATCCAGGCATGGGAGTGTGCTGTTACCCACAGGCTTTAGTCATGTTCAAAGATAAGGACAATAGTCCGAATAATGTAAATAGTGTACATAATAACTCATCTCAGAAATATAGACAGATATTCATAATGTTTCGGCCGTTGTCCACTCTGGCCTTCTTCAGGTGTAATATGCTGGAATTTTGAACCAAGCCATTTATTTAGTCCACCAAGGTAGATTGTTCTAGTTCCACATGCCATGCCTTTTTTGGATATCTCAGTTTCAGTTATTTCCCTTTAGTAATTCAACTCTCCAAGTTTTTGTTCCACTCTGCTGTGACCAGGTATTGAACTTGCAACTCTTTGTGTTAAGTCACCAGATTACTTCAACCAACATTTTTATCCACTGGGTCATATAGACAGATAAATTAAAAACTTAATAAAAAATTAATTCACTCTTCTTTGTCAAGGATCCTTTTATGATGGTTGGATTTTCCAAACACCATAAAGGGATCCTTGACAATTTACACAAATCAGTACAATTTAGCCTATTGACCAACACCTTACAATAGTAACATTCAAACTAATGTAGGTAGAATTTTCCTAAATTTAATTCACAAACACTTTAGTCATTTTCCAACACTAAAAAATATTTTCAATAAAAATAATATTAAGGTAAGCTATAGCTGTACAAAAAAATTCAATAATTATATATTCCAACATAATAATATATTAAGCAAGCACACAAACAAAACACTAAATGATAATCCTGCTAAAAGTGCATGACCAGAGACATAATCTAAAGAGCTAGGATCAATTTGCATTTTTACTGCCACAAAATGACACTGAACAATATCAAATACAAAAACTGCACAACACTTTCAAAGTATGTTCGGCAATTAAAAAAAATAGCCGTAAGAATCCAACCATTAGTTGGGAGATAATTGCAAAAGCAAAACCATGCTATGAAAAGGGAGACGGATGTAACTTGTGTTTGTTAGAGAAGCTTATTATATTAAAACACTTAAATAACCCTAACTTACTGAACACAAGAAGCAAATTGATTGGTATATATATCCATAAAACCAAACATCTCTTTAAGCACATTGACCCTGATTAAAATCAATTCCAAAATAGATCTTATGAATATTAATACTATATGTAACACCTATTAATCTTCATAGAACCCATCATTAATAACATTTTTTATATACATATATAATCCCATATTACCATATTCAATTAATTTATGACGTGTGTATATATAATTTCACTTGTATAAGTACAAGGCTAGATTCCAAACACATTAAATATGTAGTCTTAACCTATTATTATATTAACATCCTGAGTTTATTCCATAAGACATTACTTTAAATATTATAACGGTTTTTATGCAAAAAAGAGAGTTATCCCCCTTGATCCATAAGGTGTTTACTTAATTTCAATTTTTTTTATTTAAAATAATTTTTATTTTTTATTATTTTTTAATTCTTTGTCTTTCAAACTTAAAAGTTGCAATAATATAAATTGTAAATAATTAATTATAATATTATAGGCAAAAATAATGAAATAAACAAGTCTTAACACACAATTTTAAATCATCACCACCAGAACGCAAATTTTATAACGGGCAGTCTGTATTTCACACATGAAGATTTCACGTTTGAATGAAACTCTGAGTCATGCTATCGACATTGGATATTATGTATAATCACTAATAAATAAATGAAAATTTCTCAGAGTTAACCTGTAGAAAAGACAATATTTATAAATATAAATGACAATAGAACAATATTTTATGTTAACCAAAAACACATAAACCAAACATACCAATGAGACCTATCATATCAGGGATAGGCAGCGCTCCACATAAAATAGCCCGCAAACTAAGCAGAATTTTAACTCCACTACTCTGCACTATTAGTCCATCACACATAAAAAATTCAGGCGACCTCCTAAACAGATTAAAAAACATAGACATTAGAAACAAATATATGGCTAGTTTAGATATAAAATCTCTCTATACAAACGTCTCCATAGAGAAATGCTTAAATCTACTAAAAAAAAACATCTAACAAATGCAAAAATTAAATTACCTCTATCTACACATAAAATCATTAAAATATGCCAACTAATTACCAAGCAATGTTCCTTTACTTTTAATAACCAACATTACAGACAGAAATTTGGTTTGCCAATGGGATCTCCTCTCAGCAGCATTCTTGCTTGTCTATTTTTAGAATTTCTAGAAAGTGACTCTTTCAAAATTATTCTCCCTACTAATTCTTCATATTTCAGATACATAGACGACTCATTATTAATATTTCCAAAAAACACCAATTTAACAGATCTTCTCTCCAAACTTAACAACATTGAATCTACAATAAACTTCACTTTCAAAACTGAAACCAACTACACTCTTTCGTTCCTGGACATTTTGTTACATAGAAATAATAACCAACTCAATTTTGACATTTACAGAAAGGCTACAGACAAAAATGATCTGATCAGTTTCTATTCAAACCACTCTTCAAAAATTAAATCTGGAATTATTATAGGTTTCTATCTAAGAGCATTAAGAATCTGTAGTACCCAATATTTACTTAAAAAAGAAACATACATAGAAAACACATTCAAAAACCTACAATACCCATATCATTTCATCCACAACGCAAGAAGAAAGGCATACAAATATACAAACGAGACTAAACTAATAACATCTGCAATAGTAAATTACATGAAAACAGATACATAATGCTACTGACCAACTCTGTGTCTACGTCCACTATCCAGAATAACTTATGGACATACTAAGATCTTCAAAACCATTATGGAATAATAGATTTCAAACACTAGGCATTTATAAAATAATTGCCCAAAACTGTTCCTCCCAATATATTGGAGAAACAAGTAGAAATTTAAAAAAACGAATTTATGAGCACAAAAGAGACCTCACAAAAAACAACTTGGCTAATGCACTAGTCATACATAGAAATAAATTCAACCATAATTTTGATTTTAAAAATGCTACACTCATAAAAAAGAAAACTCACTCAGAAGGAAAATTATAGAGAGTGCCACCATAGAATATTACCCAAATATTAATCTATGCCCAGGCATTTTTCCCTATTTCACCTTTCTTAACAAAATTAATGCTCTTACAAACAAACGTACACAACAATATCGTAAACTCAAAAAAAAAATGGTTGAATCCGCCAACACAGTTATAATGACAATATTTTCAGTTAACAATATGAAAATAGCATTCTCTACATTCCTCCAGTTGCTAAGAACATTTTATTTTTTGTTATTATTAGTTACGTTCCTTAATTAAATTCATTTCGTTTTTTGCTTTGATAAAGTCCGCATTGGACGAAACGTGTCAGCAATAACTACAGTTTTCCTATTGTCATTTATATTTATATATTTATATATATATATATATATATATATATATATACCCCCCCCACACACACACACACTATAGTGTATCTACAGATATACACAGACTTGTATTTTATGGGCTTCTGGGAGTACAAATTTCTTAAATATGCAAAATGTATGATTTTTGACACTTGTGCAGAAAACTGTAACTACAGAACCCCACTTTCAGTGTTTATATCTCCTTTTCTTTTACCCCCAGGTCCTGGCTTGTCCAGAATGTGAAAAATTCTCTAGAATCTCACCTGCCACAGAATTGTTACTGGACTTTGTTCATGAGAAGAAACTCTCCTCCCAAAAGGACACCAGCCAACAGAATTATCAGCAAAAGGGACAGAGAACTATTTTAGTCTTCACTGAGCAGGAACTATTTGAAATGCTCACTGTCTCTTATCCACTCTACACCCAAGACTGGCTGGCTCGTGATCATGGCTTAAATCTCTCCAGGTATCCAGAGTAACCCATTCCCCCATCAAATTTGCAAATTTCTTATTGCAATGTTACTGGCATATTTTATTTTTGTTCATTTGAATTTATTAAATTGTTCTATCCAAGAATTTAATACTAAAGAGGATCAGTTTACTCTTTAACCTATTGTACCTGACAGATCACTCAGTGTATGTTATATATCTTGAATTTCAATGTGTTTCTTAGTCTTGTTTATCTCAAATGAAGAGAAGCTAACTTTTTCTGAAGGTTATCAAAAAAAAAATATACGGATTCACCTACTTATAAAACTAAATTTCTTGGGGTTCCATAGGTTAATACAAAAACTGATCTTTTAAAGTATTAGTTCCTCAGAAATATTGCAGAAAGTTCATTTATTCTAATAACAAAATTATTTCAAAATTTTTCTCTCTCTCTCTCTCTCACACACACACACACACACACACACACACACACACACACTATTGTGCCTGAAAGTATTTGAAATTAAAAAAAAAAAAAATGTTCTGAAGACTGTGTTGATTTAGTTTAAGGGGAAGCAAACGTGTACTATAGATTACCTCCCTTGTTTTTCACTGACGCTTTGGTTATTCTAATTAATAAGCTGTCCAGTATATCTTTGAGTTTTTCATATTATTGTTATTATATGTTATATTACTATCTATGTTATATGATATATTATTATATATGTTAAATGGTATATTATTATCTATGATATATATTTATGACTTTTAGGTTTATAGGTGGTACAGTTGTTAGTTGTTTCTTACTTTTAAACCCCAATATGTGTCATTTTCTTTGGCTGGTTGCATTAGCTGAAATGGAATGAAAGGAAAGAGATACAAGAAGATGAGTGAATCTATTAAGATTCAACTTTGGTACTATGGAAGCTTGCAACTAAGTTTTTGAGCTGGGGAGGGGGACACCTGAGCAATAAAATAGCTGCCTTCCTCGTCAAACTGAGTTATTTCTTCTTGTCATTTTTTTTTTTTTTTTTTTTTTGGCACCATGAAACCTCTTCTTTATTCTGAGCATGCTCAGATTGTTCTTCCTGTCAGAGGCCTCCTAAGAGCTTGTTATTTTTCTTTTTGGATTTTGTTTTCTTTTGTTATCACTTTTATTTATTATTCAATCCCCACAATCCCCACCCAAAGTAGTGGAGCTACAACAGAGATGCATTAAAGAGAAAGTTAATCTCTTGTAAGGTGTGTGTGAAAATGTGTGTGATACTTTTAAATTTTTATTTATTTTTTTATATATAATAGAGGTGATTGTTATTTCTTGTAAAACAAACACGTCTGCCTGAGCACGTGATGATTGATTCTCATGGTGTGTCTTGCTGTATTTCAGTTGTTATAGATGGTGTTTATTCTGTTGTGTTGTTATTAGTCAGGCTCTGTGTGGTGTTTTTATTGCTATCATGGGCATAGGTGAATATTGCTGGTTTCAATCTTTCAGTTGAAACCGTTTGCTCATTACCAGCCAATGTTTCTATAATAATTTTTCTTCTTGTTTAATAATTTATGTGGCCCTAAGTATGGGGCTTCCAGTAGTTTTCAAATTCTATCTGTTTGCAGCTATACACATGTCATTTTTTAATTCTTTAGGTATGAAGGATTTTTTGAATTGTATATAACTGCCCTTCAGAAAGGAGGGTTATGTCTAACTCTTGCATCTCCTTGGCAATTTTTTTTTAATGTCATCTTTGTTCAGGTTGGGATATTCCTGGTCGATGATTGGTTTTGATAGTAGTAATTGGGTTCCTGTAACTGCAGTAGCTGGGAAGAAGCCTTGGTCATTAGGCGTATTTCTAATACCAAGCAATGTAATTGGCAGTGCTTCCAACAAACTCTGCTTTCTTGTCATGATCACTGTTTTCAGACTGCTGTAGCCTTTCAATCAGTCCATTGTTTGAGGGTGATCTGCTGTTGTGCAGAGCATGTAGAAACTTATAGCAGATAGGTCTCTAAACAGTTCACTCTCTAATTGGCTTCTCCAGTCTGTTGCAACATGTAATAGGACCCCAAACTGAGAGACTCATGTGTTCAGGTATGCTAATGCTATGGTAGTGGCATAGCTGTCTTGTAAGGGTGTGGCTTCTACCCATCTTGTTGCTCTATCAATGCGCATAAGTACATATCTAGCTGATGTGTTTACACCATCATATGTAGTGGTGGGTGGTAGTGAACCAATGATGTCTATATGTACAGTTTTGAATCGTCCAAATGGTAGAGAGAATGGTGTAGTTTCTGTTCTAGTGTGTCTGGAGATCTTGTGCTGTAGACAAACTCTGACACAGGACCATTTATTTCTCTTCATGTCTGGACAGAAGTACCTTGCTCTTGTTAGTTTTGCTGTCAGTGTAGGTCCTGGATGCGAGATGTTGTGAAACATGTCAAAGACCCTCTGACATAGTGGTTCAAGTATGTATGATCTGGGAGTAGAGGTCGATAGGTCGCACCAGATGGACAACCCTTGCATCTCATAGATTTAAGTCAACTTCTGTATGTGTTAATTTCTTCATCCCCCTTTTGTGAGTCACTGATCACTGGTAGGCAGTCACAAAGGTCTATGGTTACTGAGCATGTTGGTCGTACATCTGTGACATATTCCGTCATAATCAACAAGTATCTTGTCTGATTTCATTGGTGATTTGTTTTGTTTTTTTCGGAATGCCAGAGACAGCAGTTTGTGGTCTGAAAACAAGGTGGCATTTCTGCTTTTAATTTGTGGCTTAAAGTTTAAGACTGCTTGGGATGTTTTTAACAGTTCTCTGTCAAAGGTGGAGTATTTTCTCTGTTTTCCAAACTGTTATTTTTAGTAGAATCCAATGGGAATTGGATCACCATTTATTATCTGATGCAGTGCTGCATCTAATGCCTAGTTGGAGCTGTCTGGATCAGTGTGTGTTAAAGTGGATACTTTGACAAGAATGTCTTTTATAATGACAAATGCCTTGTTTTCAGCCAGGCTTAGTTCCAGTATTTCTGCTGCTGCATTATGTTTAATGGCTTCAGTTAGAGGCAATAGCCCATCTGCAGCTTGTGGGATTAATTTCCTTTAAAAGTTTACCATTCCCAGGAAGCAACACAGTGATTTGGAATCTGTGGGTTCTAGGAAATTTTGTATGCCTTCAACTTTCTGCATTGTTGGCTTCAGTCCTTATATTATAGCCCAAGAAGTTGATGGTGCCTTTATAAAATTGCCATTTGTCCACAGAGATCTGATGGTTATTTTCTTCGAGAATTGAAAGAACTTTCCTGAGATCTCTGTAGTGTTGTTACTTAGATTAGGAGAAAACAAGTATATCAATATATACAAAGATGCGACTCACATCCATAAATATATTGTCCATAAACCTCTGGAATGCCTAGCTGCAGTTTCATAGACCAAATAGCATGAATAGGTATTGAAAGATACCAAATGGTGTTATCACTGTGGACTTTGCCTTATTCATAGGAATCTGGTGATAAGCCTCTAAGAGATCAATCTTTGAAAATACCTTTTTTTTTTTTTTTTTTTTTTGTTGAAGAGTTTAGATCCTAGGCTGTTAATGTTTGAAATTGGTCAGGTTTTGTCAGCTGGTTAAGATGTCTAAAGTCACCACATACGCACCATTTTGCTGGGGTTGACTTTGGAAGATGTAGATGTGTGAAACTGATTCAAGTAATCTCTTTCCAACTGACAAAGTCTCTCCATACAAGCAGCACCATGTCCAAAAGATGAACCAAACTATACTCTCTCGCATCATGATTATTATGCACAGTTGATTTTATAGATGTTACGGCTATTAGTGCTGGATTGATTATTTCACCTAAAACTTGTTGAATTTCCTTCGTTGCTGAAATAAATAGACAGAGGAAAAAAGACGGAAGGATACGGAGACAATGGAGGGACTGTTTAGGACTGATTTTATTTCTTTCTTTTGGATTCCAACGACCTCTTGTTGGGGAATTTCCTCCCAAACAGTTGGCACGTATTCACCAGTCAAAGGTCCAACAGAGAAAGCTCAAGCGTCTGCTCTTTTTAAGCGTCTGCTCTTTTATTTTTTATTTTTGCACATGCGTAATTTGTCTTTCCTGTCAGAGGACTCTTGGGAGATTTTAATGTTTATTTTATTTTTGTACTTTTATTTAATTTTGTATTTTTATTTTATCCCCACAACACATCCCTACCCGATGTAGCAGAGCTACAGTAAGGATGCATTGAAGGCAAAGTTAGTCTTTTATAATGTGCATGTGTGTATGTTACTCTTTTCAATGTACATATAATTTTGTTTATGTGTGTATTTTATGTGTAGTAGAAATGGTCATTGTTTCTTGCAAAACATACACGTCTACCCAAGTGGGTGACAATTGGTTCCTGTGGTGAGTTTTGCTGCATTTCAGGTGTTGGTGATGACGTGTTGTCTATTAGGCTGTGTTTTTTGTTTTCATTCTTTTTTGTGGCATTAACGAATATTGCTGGCTTCAATCGCTCAATTGAAACCGTTTGTTCATCACCAGCTAATGTCTCAATGATAAAATATTTTTCTTCTTTTTTTATTACTCTGTATGGCCCCAAATATGGAGCTTCCAGAGGTTTTCTAATCCTGTCAGTTCGCAGCCATACATGTGTTGCTGTTTTTAGTTCTTTAGGTATAAAGGATTTTTGAGTTGTATGTAGCTGTCCTTCTGAAAGGAGGGCTATATCCATCTCTTTGGCAATTTTTTTTATGTCATGTTTGGTCAAGTCGGGATACTCCTGGTCGATTATTGGTCTTGGAAGTAATAACTGGGTTCCTTTGACAGCAGTGGCTGGGGAGAAACCTTGCTCATTAGGCATATTCCTAATACCAAGCAATATAATTGGCAATGCATCCAACCAGCTCTGCTTTCTTGTCATGATTGCTGTTTTAAGAGTACGGTGCAACCTTTCGATTATTCCATTGGTTTGAGGGTGGTAAGCCATTGTACGGAGCCTGTGGAAACCTATTATAGCAGACAGGTCCCTAAACAGTT